TGTATGTATGTATGTATGTTCATAATGATAGGTGTTTTATAGACACATGCATATGTATGTTGTTTCTTTTATCAGCCCTGTATGCCCTGTATAAACTCACGAGAAAGCGTAGTAAGCACACCTAATTCACTCCTCAGTGCTGTTGAGTTTTGTGATTTGTGATTTCTGCCATCACTGAAAGCATGACGACCCTTTCCAAAATTAGCTACATTGCCTGATCTAACAGCTCGCAGTTGACTCAACCATAGCTCTGCAGCAAGGATGCAACTTTTTCTCCAATGCCCGGGCAAGGGCATTGTCACCGCGCAGGCGAGCTTGCATCAGCTCATGCCTCAGCTCAAACAACGACTGATATTCCCAAGTGGGCTTTGTAGTATTGTTTGGAGCTTGCGGTTGGCTCCTCGCCTCTGAACTTAGACCCTTGCGGCGGTCTGGCACTTAGGCTTCAGCTGATGTCAGGTTGGGATCAATCAAGCTTCCGTTAACGCTTGAGATAACCATGACACAGGGTTCTATATATTGCTATCGGAGACTGGGCCAAGCTTGGCAAGCTTTCCAGGCCTTCTCAGATTGTTACAGGCTTGGGTCGCGGACCAAGATTAACAGCTTTTGTTCCGAACTTGCGCAGGGACTGCGTGACGAAATGGCGATCAGAAAACACACATGTTCATAACGACGAGCAGCTAAACCCTAATCCCAAAGCCCTTGTCCCCTTGCAAATGTTCGCAGTCGTCCGGGTTTGCACTAGGCTAGGCTTTCGGTGCCAATGCCACGCAATCGCGCGAACTGCAGTGGCTTCGCAGATGAAATGATCAAGACTGTTGTTGAAAGCTAAGATTTGTAGCAGCGGTGCTGCGAAGTACTGGTGGGCCATGCAGCATAGAAGAAGTCTGCAAGCAGCAGCACTAAATGGCAGAGCACCCCGTCGACTCTTGTTGCATACTGGCAGGAGACTGAAGGGATAAAGGATAGCACAATTCTGCTTAAACTCTCAAGGCTTATGTTGCAAAAATGTGCATGACAGCATCGCTGAGCCTGGTTCAACCCCAGACCGTCAACCCCCAAGCTGGGGCATAGGATTCACACACCGCGATCTCATGGCAAACCCTGATTTATGGAGAGCATCGAGTCTAGAGTTTTTTTATCATATGACTTGTATATACATACGCAAACACACACACACACACACCTGCGAAATAAAGAAAAAGATACAGACAGAGAGACAAAGAGAATCTAATCGAGACCTGACCTGAGCCTCATTAAACCCTCTCCCTAAACCCTTTAAGCCGGCAGCCCCCCTAAGCCACAAAGCTTCACATCACAGGCATGCTCGCCTGGCACGAAGATGAGGAAGATCGGGGAAGAAGTCCCTCTCGATCAAGGCCTAAGCTGAGATGGACTTAGTGCTTTAAGGCTTTAAGCCTTAGGGTCTCCAGGGTCGAAGGTGCAGGGTTTTAGGGTTTCTAGGGCTTCCCGCGTTAAGGGTAGAGGCTTGGGATTCTCATTCCCGGCTCCAGACTCCAGAAAATTTGCGTGCAGGGCGTCGGGACTTAGGGTGGTTCGAAGCCTTGAGGGGTCAAGGCTCAGTCACAAAAAAACCGGAAACCCCGATAAGCAAGACCCTAAACCGTAAGCCGAAAGCGCCCGGAGAGAGACCATCGACGAGGCTCAAACCTTGCAGGACCTCAACCCGCGACTCCTCCAAAAATCGATATAAATCTCTCACTGGGTCTTTTCCGGGAACTCCTCGCCGCTATCCCGAAAACCTAAAACCTATATGCCCCGCAACACTTGCTTTCGCCTTTAGTAAACCGAGGGAACGATAGGGACTCCATGCCTGGCCTCCAGATCAACTCCGAGCTATCACCGAATGCCACTGGTTCAATCCAGCTCTTGTGCTGCTTTCACCCTGTTACAGCCACTGCTACTGTTACTACTAATTACTAGTTTCTGGTGGCAGTCCCGGCTAGTGATCCACCCTCGCAACTCCCGTAGACGGTCCCATTTTTCCAGAACTTAGGGCCTTTGGCTGTGAGCTCCAGGGTTGGGGCGCCGACACCGGCAAATGCCCACAACTGTAATGAGGTTTCGGACTTCAGCTCTAGTGTTTCCTATAGGCAAAGGATACGGTCTTGGTTGAATGTCGACTGAAATATCGGCGTCGTCGTTGGCTTTTCCGACTTGGTTTGATCGCTCGCGATGTTGGGCGGGGGCTAGGAGAGGCAGGGCTCATTGCAGGGGCCCCTCTTACGATGTCTCCTTCAGGCTCATTCTT